CTGCACCTCCTGCATGGAGGCACTGGCTTTCAGAGGGGCAGCCCAGGGCCAGAGCTTACAGAGGGCTTATGGAGGGGCCCCATGGGCCAGATGAAATTGCCTGGCGGGCTGGTTCTGGCCCACGGGCCATATTCTGCCCACCCATGCACTAGTGGGATGCAGCAGCACTAGGTGGTGGTGGTGGTGGTGGCTCGTTATTAGACTTGTGCTGTCTCATACTTTGCACTTGTGGCATGCTTCCCAAAAGGGTTGGCCACCATTAAGTTGAACATTTCAAGATCCTTTTGTCTGTTTTATATGGTACTGCTGCTTGCTTTGATTGACTGGGGGGGAGGGAGGTATCACTTTCCATTTACAATTTAGGAGCTACAGAGTTGCTTTTTTCCCCATCAGGCTGGAGATATTGCTTATCTAGATGAACAGATTATGGCTTTACACACAGAGATTGTGGAACTGCAAAGGAGTCCATATGCAAGACGCCAAGGAGATGTTATGGAGGGCCTGTAAGGACAACAGCTTTTATGTTTGCTTGTTGAAATCATTACAAAGTGTAAAAGTTTTTGTTTTTTCATGTCTGTCTGTTTGTTTGGATGAGGAAGGTGTGTGTTATGAGAAGGTTTCCCTAATGCTGTGGCATTGTCCAGGCTTTACATGCCCAGTGCCTTTGGAAAACCTTGATTTTCTTGCTTTGCTCTTACTCCAAAGGTTCCTGTTTTGATTGGAGGGAGAGAAATGTTCTTGAGCCAACACTGGAGAAATGCCAGTGATGTTTTATCTTACTGTATGAAGTGTTTCAGATGTGGTTCTGGAGCAAGAAAAACAGCAACTTGAATCAATTTGTTTGTTGATTTAAAACCTTTTTACAATGTTAAAAGAAATAAAACCCTGAAGTTGCAAAGTGAAGCACTCAGGTAGTGCCAAAGTGAGGGTTGCACATGTAGTATGAACTCTGCTCGCCAGCACCCCTGCCCTAATCTATAGCCTGTAGCCTATATCTGCACTGTTCTATAGTACGAACGTGCATTAAGCAAGGCAGCAGCCCTTGATTTCAGGAGGGCAGACTTCAGTGAGCTGAGGAGAGTAGTCGGGGAGGCACTGAGGTCCCGGAGGGGAAGGGAGTCAGGTGTCCAAGAAGAGTGGTTGCTCCTTAAGGAGACGATCCTCCAAGCCCAAAGGGAGGTAATCCCAACACGGATCAAAGGGAGCAGGAGGGTGCAAAAGCCCCCATGGCTCACCAAAAGCATCCAAGAATCTCTCCTAGCTAAAAGGGAGGTATACACCCAGTGGAAGGGAGGGGCTATCACCAGGGAGGACTATACTGTGGTTGCTCGGGGATGCAGGGGGCAGTCAGGAAGGCCAAGACGGAGATGGAACTGGGACTAGTGACCCAGATCAAGGACAACAAGAAGTCCTTTTTTAAATACTTAGGGGGCAAAAAGAAGGTACCGGGTAACATGGGGCCCCTGCAAGACATGCTAGGAAATCTGGTCATCACACCAGATGACAAAGCTAACCTATTTAACAACTTCTTTGCCTCCATTTTCCTGAGCAGGGACCGGATCAGCCCCCCCACAGGGCCACCTGCAGGCCCCAGGGGAGGCGCACCTAGGCCAAGGGTCAGTGAGGATCTAGTCAGGAAACTTCTGGAGGGACGGGACGTATTTAAATTGGCTGGACCTGACGATCTCCACCCCAGAGTGCTGAGGGAATTAGCTGAGGTCATTGCGGGACCCCTGGCACGGCTTTACGAGCACTCATGGTGCTATGGTGTGGTGCCAGAAG